GAAACCATTTCTGTTTCTCATGTAAAAGTCAATGACGACGCAACTAATTTTGTAATTTTATTTTCCCTCAAATAAGTAATATTGCCCTCAATCTGTCACATGTTGAATTAAATTTGTCATTTGCACTCTTTTCCAAGGGGTGCTCAGACCCACCCCTAAAAAATCATGATTTTTTGTGTTCAAGACACTTGGTGCTAAATCGGTCCAGTACGGTAAATAATAAAATCAATTGGAAAAGATTTTGAGTTGTAGCCATGCCCCCTTCCTCCTCTTGCAGACAAGTCTTTCCAGCCTTCTGAACCCACTCAAAATGAAACTGTACTACTAAATGTCAGACGTAGCGGTGTGTGTTGCACACTAATTATCGTTATTATAGTTTTTACAATTGCATGAATTACAAGTATAGTAATGAAAAACATGTTTGTGTTGTTTTGGAAATTAATGGAATATTTAAAAATCCATTAAATATGGAATAAATTCATTTGATTATATTTCTAAAGTGCAGGGGTTTCACAAATGTATTGAATAGCAGACCATCATCATGTAACAACAGGCCAAAAAAAATATAAAAAGGCTCTGGGCAGTGTGAAGCGCTGCAGCGAGGCCGACATAGGCGGTTGGGGAGAAAGTAGACATTCAATTTGGGTTTGTAGCCGACCATATGGTCCTAACGAAACCCCTGAAAGTGTTAACAAATATTGAACATTTGATTTACCAATAGCTAAAGTCTCTCGCGTAAAATGGTTCGCATTTCCCATCAACTTAAAACGCCTTCGGCTTTCGAATATCTAGGATACACGATTACATTAGGCCCGAGGACTGTCAACAGTCTACATTATACACATATTTACTAATGGTCTTCAATAAAATACAATCACACTTACAAAGTAGCATTGGCATGTGAAATTAAAATCAAAGTACCAAAATAAAGTCTGGTATACAAATAATGTATCGAGCAGCTCTCCGATTTATTCCCCAAATATTCACTTTGCACAATGGCCATTAGGAACAGATGCACCTATGAAATCCAGTACTGGATATATCTTTAGTTTTAATTTTGTCTTTTTGCAATAGGCTATCAGCCAAGAATGCCCTTGTAATAGCTACATCACTATGTCACATGCACATATTAATTCTTCTGTCATTTCATACCTCAGTTTTTCATCTTTATTGTCAATATCCAAATAAGGATACGATAATGCAATAAAGATTATTATTATTATTTTATTATAGTAAGTTAGCGCCATGGATTGCTAAGCGCAGAACACCTAAGATAATAGAACAATACAAAAGAATAGGAGGCGGCTCACCTATCAAGAAATGGACGCATAAACAAGGAGAGTCTCTGGTGAAGCTATTGGATGAAATGTCGCCATATACTGGTAAGGTAATAAACTACTCTGGATTTCATTATCAGCTCATAGTTTTTGTCAACATAAATAATGAAATAACACACACAGTGGTCAAAATTAGAGCCTGTCTACCTGTGCCAGAGAATCAGATTTGAGCTGGGACAGGTAAAAGTGAAAATTGTCTGTCTCTATAAAACTCCTGATATGCATGGCTTGTCCACTTGTTAAACGCCTTTTTTTTAACTCTATGTCACTACGATTCTGACAGCCGTGCTATGATTCCTTACCCCAAGAGGGCGCCAGTTTTGTTCCCTTATTCTTGTTACGAATTGCTGAATCTGTGTTGTTTAATATATATTTTTTGTAACATAAATTTTGGCAACCAACAATTTTGTACATGGCTACTAAACTTTCCAGTTGTTCACCACTGATTGGAACTTGCCAATGGCCACCATGAAAAAGAAGTCAAACTTAGTATGTATGCATGTGTTGGACCAGGCCTTGTTGATACTAGCAAGAAGACATGTGCAGTCATAGAAATTTTATTTTGATATATCGGATTCTGCCGTAAATCGCCCAGGACCGTTAAACGGCATTTCGGGTTTTTAAAAAAATAAATTGGGACCAAGAAACCGCCCAGGGCGATTTTTTTCGGCAGTTTTTTTAAGGTGTTATTTTAATCTTTTCTGATGCCTAAAAATTTTGCCAAAGTCATTGGCGCCTATTCAAGAGTATTGATGTTTATTGCGACTAGCATGAATGAGTTAGCTTCGTTTTGACAATGAGCTGTTATCGCAGTAAACAATCTTAAATTATTCTACAAATGCTGAGTTTATCTTTTGAAAACAACTATTTTTTTTTTATTTAAAAACAAATCATGCCGCTTTTTCATCAAAATCCAAGCCAAAAGATCGTACAACAACATCGGCAAATCTCTTCCGTACTGCGTTCAATAATATTAACATATTTAAATGAGCTATGGTAATTTGAACACGTTGGCATCATCCATCGTTTTCATTGGTTAATTATCAATTTGACCTATCAGGTCAAAGAACACAGTCTAAGGTCAAACATGGAAGATATTCATTTCTACAGCATCGAGCGCTGAAAATGCGATTGGAATCATTCGCTTATGATGAAACAAGTTGAATATATTTGCATTTCATAACAATTCAACGAATTTATTTTTTGCACGTTATTATAATCATCTAGGTAATAATCAACAATTGTAAAACGCAGCATGACCGGAATGCGATACCACGATCATTTGCTACTAAGCAATGCAGTTGCAGTTCCTTTTTATTTGAAACGTCTTTTACTAATAAAATGAAACAATATAATTGTATTTGTAATTTTTTTGGAGAAAGATGCGCTGTCTACTTTTTAATCCAACAAGAAAAAAATGTATAAAATTTTAGATTAGCTTCTGCAATAGTTTCTTTCGTTTTGGGTGGTCCAACTACCGGCATTGAAAATCGGCTTAGAAGGATTTTTAATGAAAATATAAGCCCCCTAAAAATATTTGATGATAATTTTCTGAAAATTTGAATCCCAAATAACCGCCCACCAGTCGTGAAACCACCCAGGGTGATTTTTCGGATGGGCAAATTTACAGCAGAATCCGGTATTTTCTTTTAGGAACAAATTCATATAATCCGTTCACTCAAAATTTCCATGACTGGTATGCTCTGCCACGCCCTCTATAGTTGTTACCAAATTTGTTGATGTAATAAATATCCTAATGACACGCATTAATTGTAAGCTGCCAACCAATGAAAAGACAGCTATTGATCTGATCTCTTATGAGCTATTATAACTCATGCATGTCTCCAACATGTAGAATTCTCGTTTCCCGAATTGATAGCGTTTGCGCGTTGATCGTTTGTGCGCTTGCGCATATCCTGTGACCTGGTGTCAACAAACTGAAATGCACAGAGTCGCAGTGACAAAACATCACAGTTTCCAACTCGCAACTTAAAAATTCACCTGAAATAAAACTGCCATCATCTTTTAACTAACTCATAGCAGTCCTCTGAAAAATTACACACTATTCTGTCTCAGCAAGAATAACGAACATGCAAATTATCTTTGGCCATAGCGTAATATTTTCATATTTTTTGTGGATATTTGTCAGTCGTATTTTAACCTGTGATACACACAACTATTATCTTTTTCAACTGGGGATTCCCATTTCTCAGCTGTCTTAAATGGTTCTTCTAGCTGCCCTCACTTGTACCCACCCACACTCACTCCGCTATCATTAAAAAACTGTTTAAAATATGCGACAGATTTCTTCATGTCTACTGGTGCTATTTTGATTTTTTATATTTGACTTTTTATATTGAAAAAAATTATGTTTGCTTCAGTACTTTTTGACTCTTGTGTGAGAAGCACACAATGAGTCTTTGTTGTTACCCTGTCTGTCTGTATGTATGTATGTCTGTTCAAAAGATATCTGAAGAACTGATGACCAGATTTTAATGATACTTTGTACATAAATGCTCTGGGACAATGTATCAACCTGGTTAGTTTTGTGTAAAAATGTGTGCAAACAAATCACCTAATTTGCATAATAATTAGTAAATTTTTTATTCATGTAACTTGCTACATAGATTCTCTAGAACAATGCTCAGACCAGAGTATTATAAACTTTTATTTTATATGTTGCGCATCTCGTTATGGCAGACGAATCTCGGCTTTCTTAACTTAACTTTCAAGCTGGCCTATCAGCTGGATTCATAAAAACTTACAGGGGGGTATATATATGTATATAATTTTTAATGTGAGTATCAGTATCCTTAATAATTTCATAGTATTTACCCATGTCTCTAATACGAGATATAAATAGACAGATTACACTGTATAATATAAATATGCAGCACATTTAAAAACAAGCCAAGCTAGCTTTAATCAGCAAAAAGTCAGTGCTAAATGTTGAGTTATGTTAAAATTATAATAATTGAGATATTGATAATGTTTATTTTCTTTGCAGCACCGCATAAATATTACATAGGATTCCGATATGTCAATCCACTCACAGAAGACACTATAGAACAAATACAACGGTAAGTAAATATTACATAGGATTCCGATATGTCAATCCACTCACAGAAGACACTATAGAACAAATACAACGGTAAGTAAATATTACATAGGATTCCGATATGTCAATCCACTCACAGAAGACACTATAGAACAAATACAACGGTAAGTAAATATTATAAAACAATAATAAACTTAGAGTTTTTGATATTTTGAGTAAACTGTGCCATGAACAAAATTTAGCAGCTATTTTGTGACTTGTGTGTGTCAAAAAGGCTGTGTTGTGAGTAAGTTTACAATTGGTTGCTATGGCAGAAATATTTCATCATATCTCAAAATTTGATTTGGTTTTCAATGCTAAAACAATTATATGTAGTGTTGTAAAGGCTACGTATGGCAATCACAAAAAATGAAGAATAGTACAAGTTAGTTATCCATGGAAAAATGTTTACATGGATTCTTATGGAAAATATTCAAAATGGCCGCTTTTTGAATTATTTTGCATAGGATTTCTTGAAAACACATCCTTCTTTCCTCCTAAAAACTATGAATGACTTGCATGTATGTGAATTATCACACAACAATTTTTGATATTTTAATGGTAGCAGACTACATTGTACCTTAAAAAGGTATTTATAAACAGGTGGTCTTCATATGGAGGTTGGATTTTTTTTCATTGATTGCTTACTAGTTTATTTGACATAGTAATTTGTCCGAAAATGTCAATATTTTCAAGATATACTTTGTGGTTATTACCGTATTTATCCGGGCAAACGCCCACCCCCCAACTTTTGACACAATAAATAAGTTGAGGTCATATCTGGCATATCATACACAAAAAATAACAAAAACATATTTTCATAAACATATTTGTTGACTGTGGTTGTATTAACAGATGACTTTCTTGAAGTCTGTCGTGATGCTTATAAAAAATTTTTAAATATAATTGTTAATTGCGTAAAAGAAGAGGTGAACGCAAAATAGCTGTGACGGCAAAATAGGTAATTTCGCTTTCTGCCTTCAGGGCAGCGTGTTCAACGCTGATTTACATTTATTTGACAAGATTTTTTTTTCAGAATCATAACAGTCTATAAAAATGTATATTAAAGCAGAAATGGTAGTTTTCTTTTTGAAATATGTCAGGGCCCTAAAAAAGGGCTGGCCGTTTGATTTGTGCTTCCTGTATAGGGAGAGTCGCGAAGCAAGTGTTGCACTCAGTCGGCCGTAGCGTCATCAACAATTAAACCATACTGAGAGAGAGGTTGAAGTCAGGTTATTTTGGCTTTATAAAATATTTGGTAGCAGCTTGCAAATCCATAACTGGGACAAGCAATTTTGCAATGTCATGCCGAAGACTGTCAACTTTTTTACCGTCTTTCATCACTGCTATTGCATTTCTATCATGAAAACTATTCTTCTGTCGTGGATAAAAAAAAACTTCCTATTATAAGCCCACCGCGATATCCATATAGTGAGTTTGACGAAGATAGTAATGAACTTACAAATAAAGATCAAACAGCTATGAATTTTTATTATTTTTAACGTGTAAATTTGTAAATTATTATTGATCTTGTATGGCAGTTGATCCGTAATTTGTGAAGACCGGAAATAATTTTATGCAGTTTAACCCCTGACAATTTAGTTCATTTTGGGCGTGTTTGTCAGAGGGGAAATCCTAATTTAAATGATTCCTCACTGTTGATTTTTATTATTTCTGGTTTATTTGTCACATTATAAGCAATACATTTTTGTTTTATTTCTAATGTTACATATTGTTGATTTATTTCCGTTGCATGTTTTCATTTGCCGTTCTATTCCTTGCTGCAGTTCGATCTGAGTGTTTTCAATTGTTTTTGTTTTTTTGCAGAGGATATACGGGCAAACGCCCACCCCTATTTTTTGGCAATTTTCCATGTTCAGGACCCTGGGCTCTTACCCGAATAATTACGGTGCTATTATTAGACATGTATGGTGGTTATGAGAATAAGTTGCGCTCACACTGTACTTTTACTTTACATGGAAAATGAAGGAATGTATTGGTGTAATATTATTGTCATGGTAACTTTGTTTCCTTAGAGATGGTATAGAGAGAGTAGTTGCATTTACTCAGTACCCACAATACAGCTGTTCTACCACAGGAAGTAGTTTGAATGCCATATATAGATATTGCAAATCTAAAAGCCAATCAGATTCCAGCAGACTACAATGGAGTGTCATTGATAGATGGCCGACACATCCAGGCTTTATTGAGGTATGTCTCCTGTATGTAAATGGTTTGAACTGTGTAAAGGTATGTCCCCTGTATGTAAATGGTTTGAACCATGAAAAGTTATGTCCCCTGTATGCAAATGGTTTGAACCATGAAAAAGTATGTCCCCTGTATGTAAATGGTTTGAACCATAAAAAGGTACGTCCCCTATATGTAAATGGTTTCAACCATAAAAGGTATGTCCTCTGTATGTAAATGGTTTGAACCATAAAAGGTACGTCCCTGTATGTAAATGGTTTGTACCATACTAGCATGCCCTCACATAAATTGGTAGTTGTTTCTATTGTCAAAATAAGTCATTCAATATATTCAATATATACAACAAATGTGATCTGCAGTTAATATTCACTTTTATTGGAGATACACTTCTAATAAAGCAAATACAATAAATCATTTAACAATACTGTATTTACTCTATTAGTAGTGCATGCACTCATGTAAATATCTGGTTATAATAATTTATATTTTAAGCGGAAATAATTCAATATACAACAAATGTGATTTTTGATTTATATGTGATTCTTACAGAACAAATACAATATTTTATTATTCTATTTTGACTAATCAGCCTCTTATTGGCATCTACAGTTGACATTATTGTTTTATTGCAGGCGGTAACTCACAATTCAAGATGAAATTGAGAAATTCCCTGATAATGTCAAAGATGATGTGGTCTTATTATTTTCAGCTCACTCACTGCCTATGACTGTAAGTTGCCATGGTAACCCAGCATTTTGCAACTGTAATATGACTTCAATGTGTCAAATAAAATCTATAGAATTATTTACAATAATAATAATAATTTTATTTACCTAGAAAATATTTCATACAATACACAAAGTTATACATGCAGTCTAGGTAAAATGGAAATCTGAAATAGCTTAAAAGCTAGTCGAGTCAGATAATAATGGAGGATAATGCAGGAAATGTGACAAATAACAGCTTATATTGAAAAAAAAAATTGATGCTTGTTAACGATATATCGTTCCTGAAATGAGTACAAGAATACATCTGTAAATTAAATAGTTGTTCTACTATAAAACTGACAGTAATGCATATCTCTGGGGCAAATACAAAAACAAGATTTTGAATACTGTGATAATGTAACTTCCAAGCTGTAATCTGTGAAAAATAATCTATTGTGGAAATAAAATACTGGGGTACTGTATATATTAATTTTCGCTATTTTCACTTGTAATTAATGATTCAATGAAAATAAAATCCAGTGAATATACTATTTTTTTATTTTAACAAAGGATTGGGAAGCATTATTTTAGAAAACATTTCACAGAATCCTGTATTTTATATTTAATTATATTCAATTCAAGGTTATTTTGATGTTATTCACAGATATTTGATAATTATCGTTAATATTTGTGATTTATCACAGGTTGTGAATAGAGGCGATCCATACCCACAGGAAGTGGCAGCAACTGTACACAGAGTCATGGAATCATTGAATTTCTCACATCCTTATAGACTAGTATGGCAGTCAAAGGTCAGATACCTCATTCTATGCAAT